TGAAGAGAGGTGTGTCATATTATATGAAGTTTTTTTCTAACTCAGAGTTCTCTGATACTGCATATTAATTACCTCATTTGTCCTAGGCATCATTTTAAAACAGGAATGGTAGAGGTGGGAATTTTGTGGTAGGAGAATCAAACCAACAGAAAATAAGAAACTGGGCTTCCCTGATGGTGCAGGTTGAGAATCTGCCTGCCAATGTAGGGGACATGGGTTCGAGCCCTGATCTGGGAAGATCCCACATGCCGCGGAGCAACTGGGCCCGTGAGCCACAACAACTACTGAGTCTGCGCGTCTGGAGCCTGTGCTCAACAAGAGGCCGCGATAATGAGAGGCCCGCGCACCGCGATGACGAGTGGCGTCCGCTCGCCGCAACTAGAGAAAGCCCTCACACAGAAACGAAGACCCAACGCAGCCAAAAATAAATAAATAAATAAATTTTTTTTTTTTTTAAAAAGAAAATAAGAAACTTGTTTATGTTATAACCTGTCCATTTTTTTGTTGTTCATTCCGTCAGTACTACCAAAAGAGAATTTAAGGCATAATGACTCATTATGTTGTGGAAAAGCCAGAATTAGAGCCCAAGTCATTTGCATTTCTATTAAAGAAAAATAAGTGAAAGTCATGAAAATCTTGAGACAGGTAGTGTTGTTGCTATCTGATTATTTGACTTACCACACATAGAAAAACGTTTTTTTTTTCTTATTACTAAAACAACGTAGAAAAATCTACTGTGCTTTGAACGAGTCAAGAGTTGTTATTGCTGTTGTCATTATTGTCAATGATAGAATAATGTAAAAATGTTTTGTTCTTAACTAGAACAGATCTAATGTATATCCATTTACTATAGCAAAGACTATCATGGAATTATGAGTAAAGGATGTATAGTGATGAACTTTGTATAGAATTCCATTGTTTTGATCAGTTCCAATGTATAATTGTTTTAGAAATTGATGCACAGAAAGTAGATTAAGCCATTAACACAAGGAGCGGGCAGAGCAGAGCTTCACTGTCACTCTACAAGCAGCTTGGAATTCAAAAGAATTCCTCTCTATATACCTTTCTATGGAAATAGGTTGTGAGTTAATGTAAACTCAAGACACCTTTAGCTTTCCAGAGCAGCTAGATTTAAAAATTACTCCAAAGCCTACATTTAAAGGGAGACAGGAGAGTATGAGAAAATTGCCTAGCAGCATATTCCTGTATAGCATGTTTCACTTAAAGCAAGCTGGTTTTTTACTTAAGTGCTTTGCTGTGATCAGCAGATGAAGATTGAATAGACTGAGAGAACTACTCCTTGAAGGACCTTGCCTGATAGACTGCTAAGGCCTAAATGAGAGTGTGCACAGCTGCTGCCCTGACTTGCCATATCAGTGACCAGGGCACAGGAGCTCAGCCTGAGAGTGTCAGCACATATTCTTTAATATACACTCTGAGTCGCTCCACATAAAGCAGATACTCTGTTTGGGAGTAAGCCAGGATAAAAAGATAAAGAAACCTCAAGCAGTATAGGATGTGCTTTGTTTGGTAAAGTGAATTTAACCTTAGTTGTAGGAGAACGTATAAGTATGATTTGCCATAATAACTCATTCAGTCATTTAGATGACTGGGCATATGCCATCACAGAACTCACAGGACAGTAGGAATAACAGATCATGATAAAGCTAAAATTTTAAGAACTCTATGTCCCCTCTGTAATCAGTGGAGATAGGGAATGAGAATGCTGCTTTAATTCAGGAGTAGCAGCACTTTGGCTGCTTCTGGCCAGATCTTTCCC